TGCTTGTCTGTAAAGCTTTTGGTTTCTTGTCAAATCTCCAGGAGAGCCTTGCTGAGTAGGTTGTAGTTTCTTCCCTTTCATCAGTTTAAATGTATCACGCCACATTCCCTTCTTACCTGCAGAGAAATCAGTTGATAACCTTACGGGAGTTTCCTGGTACATTATTTTTTCTCCCTTATTGCTTTTAGCATGTTTTCTTTGCCTTTAATTTCTGTCAGTTTATTACTGTCTCAGCATGTTCCTCCTTGAATGCATCCTGCCTGGGACTCTATGCTTCCTGGATTTGGGTAACGGTCTCCTTCCCCATGTTAGAGAAGCTTTTAGCTACTTTCTCTTCAAAGATTTCCTCAGGTCCTTTCTCACGCTCTCTCTCTTCTGCGGGGACCCCTATAATGCAAATATTAGTGCATTTACTATTGTCCAGAGGTCTCTTAGACTATCCTTATTTCTTTTCATTCTTTATTCTTTTCCGCAGCAGTGATTTACATCATTCTGACTTCACAGCCACACACCCCCACCCCCCATGCAGGAGAGCCTCCAATATTAACAGGTAAGTCTGGCCTAATCTCTTAGAAGGACGACGACTCTTTTCCCTGTGTTCTGGTACACTGAAGACTCTGTGAGTGCCCTCCAAGAATGGAATTTATTTCCCCAGTCCTGTGAAATTCCTGACAGTAAACCACGTTGGCCTGCAAAGCCAGCTTCTCTGGGAGCTCCCCCTGTTGCCAGACCCCCAGGCTGGGGAGCCTGATGTGGGGCTCAGAACTTTTACTCCTGTGGGAGAATTCCATGATATAATTAGTTTTTGGTTTGTGGGCTGTCCACCCAGCGTGTATGGGATTGAACTTTATCACAATTGACCCCTCCTACCATCTTGTGGATGTAGGGTATCTTTCTGGTAGCTTCCAGCACTTGTCAGCGGTTGTTTAGCAGCAGGTTGTGATTCTGGTATTTCCTTAGACGAGGCCAGCTCAAGTCCCCTACTCCACCCTTTTGTCTTGTCTCCTGTGATTTTCAACCTGATGACATGTACTCAGGAATGTCTACTGTCTAGTCAGTATCTTCTATAAATACTATTTCAATCTCTCATGATCTTACTTCTCTGCTGGATATTCTTCCAGAAAGTAGTAAGGAAATGGCTTGAACATGTAGGTAGTCTCTTCAGCCATCAACATATTTACTGTTAATGAACCAAAATGGTTCTGTAGTCACCCAAAAAATAAATACTTGAGACTGTACAGCCTTGGTTTAGAATGAATGATAATGTAATCCATAATCAGCTGTCCATAGCTAAAATCGAAGATATATGATGAGTCTGTTATCCATGAAGACTTAACACTCCAAGCCTCTCTTTAAATGACAATTCATATGCTTATATGAACTTATTATCTACAAACAATAAAGGCTCTTAAAAGCCTTTATCAAGTTTATCTGTGCTTTGTGGGACTAACATGCCAGCCAAGGAAATAAACACAGCTTTTGCAAATGATTGATTGATGTGGTACTTCAAAGTAACTACGAGAACACAGAACTACCCAGAATGCTCATTTTTTAAAAACAGATACATTAGAATCTTTTATTGTCCAATCTCAGAGATGAAATTTATTCCATTAACACAAGCTCTGATTAAAACTTAACTTGATTAAAATGTACGAATTGCCTCTTTCAGAATCACCTTAATCCTGAGGCTACTCTAGAATATCCTCAGTGGCTTAAGATATACACATGTACTCCTTCCTCTTTTTGAACACAGGTGTGGGGACAGCCAGATGCAATGAGGAGTTAATTAGTGTACATGATGAGCGGTGCCTGGGCACTGTAGGAAGGGAAAGCATGGAAACTGGTGAAGCTTTGTTGTTGTTCTGTTGCTAAGTGGTATCTGACTCTTCGCAACTCCATGGACTTCAGCACAGAAGGCTTCCTGGACCTTCACTATCTCCCGGAGTTTGTTCAAATTCATGTCCATTTAGTCAGTGATTCTATCTAACCATCTCCTACCACCTCCTTCTCCTTTTACCTTCAGTCTTTCCCAGCACCAGGGTCTTTTCCAGCGAGTCGGTTCTTCGTATCAGGTGGCCACAGCATTGGACCTTCAGTATCAGTCCTTCCAATGAATATTCAGGGTTGATTTCCTTTAGGACTGACTGCTTTGATCTCCTTGCAGTCCAAGAGGCTCTCAAGAGTCTTCTCCGGCACCACGTTTGAAGCATCATCACTCTGGCGCTCAGCCTTCTTTATGGTGCAACTCTCACATCTGTACATGACCACTGGAAAACCATACCTTTGACTAGGTGGGTTGCTATTGACAAAGTGATGTCTCTGCTTTTTGATATGCTGTCTAGGTTTGTCATAGCTTTTCTTCCAAGGAGCAAACATCTTTTAATTTCATGGCTGCAGTTTCCGTCAGCAGTGATTTCAGAGCCCAAGAAAATAAAAGTCTGTCACTGTTTCCACTGTTTCCCTATCTATTTCCCATGAAGTGATGGGACCAGATGCCATGATCTTTGTGTTTTGAATGCTGAGTTTCAAGGCAGCTTTTTCACTCTCCTCTTTCACCCTCATCAAGAGGCTCTTTAGTTCCTCTTCACTTTCTGCCATCAGAGTGGTATCATATGCATATCTGAGGTTGTTGACACTTCTTTATTCCAGCTTGTGATTCATCCAGCCTGGCATTTCTCATGGTACTCTGCATATTAGTTAAATAAGCAAGGTGACAATATATAGCCTTGACATATTCCTTTCCCACTTTGGAACCAGTCCGTTGTTGCATGTATGGTTCTAACTGTTGCTTCTTGGCCTGCACACAGGTTTCTCAGAAGACAGGGAAGGTGGTCTGGTATTCCCATCTCTTAAAGAATTTTCCACAGTTTTTTGTGATCCACACAGTCTAAGGCTTTAGCACAGTCAGTGAAACAGATGTCTTTCTGGAATTCTCTTGCTTTCTCTATGATCCAGCGAATGTTGGCAATTTGATTTCTGGTTCCTCTGTCTTTTCTAAGCCCAGCTTGTACATTTGGAAATTCTCAGTTCACATACTGCTGAAGCCTAGCTTGAAGGATTTTGAACATAACCATACTAGCATATGAAGTGAGCACAACTGTCCAGCAGTTCAAACATTTTTGGGACTGCCCTTCTTTGGAATTGGAATGAAAACTGACAAATTTGCTGACATTGAGTGTAGCACTTTACCAGCATCATCTTCTAGGATTTAAATAGCTTGGCTGGAATTCCATCACCTTTATCCACTCGCTTTGTAATGCTTCCTAGTAATGATGCAGCTACTATTGAAAAAAGTTTGAAGTTTCCACAAAAAGTTAAAAATACCTTATAGTTTAGTAACTCCACTTCTGGATATTTATGCAAAGAAAACAAAATCAGTATCATGAAGAGATATCTATACCATGTTCACTACAGCATTGTATATAATAGCCAGGACATGGAAATGACCTAAGTATCCACTTATGGATGAATGGATAAAGAAGATGTGAGATAGATACATACCTATCTACACACACACACATACATACATACATACATATATATATATATATATATATATATATATATATATACACACACACATACACAGAAGGAGACATTAAAATAGGAAGTCCTTCTTTTGCAACAAGATGTATGGACCTTGAGGGCATCATTACTCTAGGTAATGGGTTGGCCAAAAAGTTTGTTCAGGTTTTTCTGTACCATCTTATGGAAAAACCCAAGCGAACTTTCTGGCCAATCCAAAAAAATATGTCAGAAAAAGACAAAACTCTGTGATCTCACTTATATGTGGAATAAAAAAAAAAATTGAACTCATAGAAAGCAAAGACAGATTGGTGATTCCAAGAGGCAAGCAGTGGGGAGTGACCGAAATGGGTGAGGCAGAAAAGATACCTCAAAAAAGTGATAAGTTCCGGGATACAGTGTCCTACTGTTGACTATACTATATTGCATATTGCATATCTGAAACTTGCTAAGGAAGTAAATCTTAAAAGTTCTCATAAGAAAAAAGTACAAATGTGCAACTATGTGAGGTAAAGGATGTTCGATTTACTGTAGTGATTACTTAGCAATGTATAGGTATATAAAATTATATCATATACCTTAAACTAACACATTACATTCCCTCTGTTAGATCAGAAACTACATCCATCAGGACAAGCCTGTTAAATATTCATTTCTATGCTACCTTTGCTGATTTAAAACTACTTATCTATATCAACAGTAGAAATAAGTTAAAATCCCCAGACAAATCTTGGGCAAGACAGATCAAGAATTTGACCTAGCCGCACAAAGGAGCTCAATCTTCTTTCCACATGTAGATATCCTCTTCCTTCAATTCAGCACTGCAAAAAATAACCTCACTGAGCCACTTGAATGAACTTCAAAAGGGGACTTCAACCGCTCACCTGGATACAAGCCAGAGGCTCATTTGTCCAAATCGAATATCCGCCAACTAAGTATATTCTCTCATTATGGACAGCAACTCCAGATTCATTTTGGCCTAAAGTAAAGAGAATTGAATAAAAGAGGAAAAATAAATCCATTTCCTTGCATGTCTTAATTAACCCTTTTGCCACTGAGGAGGGGTAGTCTTCCCCTGTGGCACACAAGTATACTCCACAGGATTTTTGCCGCAACTAACCCCTGCCTCCCAGGTCTCAGAGGGAAGAATTAACCACTCTCAGAGAATGAAGCTGTGTTGGGTCAGAACTGGGTGATAACACTTAACAGCCAGTCAAATTAGGAAATACAGCATTAAAGACAGCAATAATAAGCCATATAGAAGAGTTTAATGCCATGTTGTATACCATTAATTAATACTAATGGAAATAGAGTATATTTGAGGAATGTAGAACACCTTGTTCTACTGAATACAAATACTTCTAAGGCAAGTGCTTACATCTGTAACGGCTGCAACCCCAAGAAGCGAATAACACAGAGCCATGCCCCTAGCGTGCCCCAAATGAAGACAAATGACAGAAGATGACTGATAGTTACTACTTTCCTTTTTCTTTACATACACAATAGTTTTAAGACTATATTATAAAGTTCCTGAGCTGGGACCAGCCTGGGTAGTCCCTAGATATAGACACGCCAAAATGATAAAAGGTTCCTCCTCCATTAAAAAAAAAAAGAATAACTCACTACCACATATTCTTCCGTGGAGGCCATCAGAGAGTGAGACAGTCTCTTCTTATTGATGGGCTGACACAGAACTGACTCGGGTAATAAATAAGCTGGATCCTATAGCAGACAGAATCACAGATCGAGGGACCGAGGGGCTAAGTAAGGTACCACTACAGGAACTTAGAGTTAAGTGCTTGTAGGTGGGCCTCAGATCATTTTGCAGAAAAACAGGAGCTCAGTATAAAGCATCTAACCCTCTCACACTGGTTAGGCCCCCAACGTGGCCTCCTCAGCAGCGGCTGTGAGCGCCCACTCAGCGTATTAAAATGCCTTCAGGCCACAGTCCTGCCCACCTTTTGAGTCTGTGACCTTAATGGAAGGGAAGGGATCTTAATAACGCAAGCCAAGAAGGGAGGAAGTTTTCAATGTCATAAAAAAATGTCAGGGGTGGGCTATTTGCTGCTTTCTTTTCATTCACTTTGGGATGAGGATGGTCCCTCCCTAGTGCTGCTCGTGGTGATGGGGGGATAGGTGCGGTCAGAAGTGCTGCCAAACCCCTACGCATAGAACATCTCCAGCGTTTTCTCTTTAGGAAAATACAGGCGAAAAACGATATCTGACAGTGATAAACAGTATAGGCCATTCTCCTCAACTCATAAGAAATAAGACTAAAAGTGAGAAGAGAAAAATAAATTGCTCCTATAGAGTCATTAACTCTTTCAGCACCTGATCCCTCCTACTTATA